TACCATATTGAAAAATATACTATTTTTGTATGATAATTATGGGTTTTGTATTTTATTTTAATAGAAGTTGATGTTGCTTTTGCAATTATCCATCAATTTTTTAAAATTAAACACTATCTACAGATTTGCATCGAAGCGTTTCTTATGATAGTGATTTTAATCACTGTCAGATTAAATCTATACTGGAAACTACTATGCAATGTCTCCACTATGCCGCGACCCCACTGTGCTACCGTTTTGTTTTTTTTGAATAAAGAAGTCAATGAATTAATATATAGAATAACAGTTTATTTAACGTATTATAAATATGTAAAAATAATTTTTTATAATCCTTTTAGTATGTAAGAACATTTTTAGTTAGTGTATATCAGAATCGTACTTGTATCCCTTCCTAGAATATAATAACTTACANATATTCCATCCTTCCTAGAATATAATAACTTACATAATTTATATGAAATATGAAAGGAGTAAGGAAAAATTTTTTATGCACACCTTCCGATTATAAAATTCTACACTACTTGTATTTTTTTAAAAATACATATGAAATCATATGAAAATCTGTCTTATAGTATATCAAACTTCCTTTCCGTATAATAAATATAAAAAAAAAAAAAATGTAAACACTTTTTAAATTTACTTAATAAATTCAATACAAAAGAGAAAATGTTTCATAAAGAAAACATCGTGAATCGAAAAGATCGATATTTGTTAACTTGACAATCGATTGATCTTCAAATGGGGCAATTTTTTTGGCTTTTGTTCCGTTTGTCACCTTTCATTAATCAACTTGCTTTGTTGGAGGTTGCACTACACTGTAAGTACTATTATGTCTAATTTGTATATTCGCCTTTTGACAGCACTACCCTTAACATTATTTATTAAAATAAATTATTATTTAATTCTTTATTAATTGTGATTAATATTTACATAAAATCTTATTAAATATTGTTTATAAAAGAAAAATTATTTGATTTTAGGGAAAAGGAACTTAAGCCTATTTTTCATTTCATTTTTTTTAACGGAATATTGATAAATACTTTTCATAACATATTTTAGTTTTGGTAGAATATTTTTGAGATCAATATATTTAAAAAAAATAACTAAAAATTGTCAATGATATTTGTCAATTTCAAATTTTTAAAGAATTCTCCTAGATGTTAATCAAATTGACATGAAGCTATTTTTCCTAAATCTAAAATTTAATTAACATTGCATAATATAATTTCTTTCTTATTTTATTATTATATTTATTAATTCAAATATATACGTCTGTAATTTTTTTATTAGCATAAATGATTTAATTGTCGTTCCGAAAAAGAGAAATTAAAATTCTTACCCTTTTTAGCAACCCTTTTGTTTGGTAATTTTGATGTTTATTATTTTAAAAATTCAACTAATTTAAAAATATTACCTAACAAGAGTAATTCTTTTTTTAGAATGTTATTATTTTGAAATTCATAGAAATAAACCTACGTGGTTTTGGATATTGTACTATATTCCTCATAGGTACAATTGAGCGGGTGTAATCCTATGCAGATTTTATAATTTTTTTACAATTTTGTAATGAAAACTAAAATATTTTTGTATAAATAATTAATGCGGTTGGGTTTTAAAAATTGTGAATATGCAATGTTATCGGTGTAGTATATACATGTCACTTTAAACTTGGTAATATATGTTGGTTTCAACAATAATAGTTAAAATACCATAGTGGTAAGAAAAAAATGTATGTATATAATTGTTATACATAATTATACATTTATAAATAAATAAAAAAAACGGTAGCACAGTGGGGTCGCGGCATAGTAGAGACATTGCATAGTAGGGTCCAGTATAGATTTAATCTGACAGTGATTAAAATCACTATCATAAGAAACGCTTCGATGCAAATCTGTAGATAGTGTTTAATTTTAAAAAATTGATGGATAATTGCAAAAGCAACATCAACTTCTATTAAAATAAAATACAAAACCCATAATTATCATACAAAAATAGTATATTTTTCAATATGGTAGCCATTTGCG